AGTAATTCATAGCAAGGGTAAATCTGTATTTTTCAACTCACCTAGTTGTCCTACCTGTTAAATGACATACTGTATCCTGAGAGCCACGGAATACATAGGTGCAACTGGTGAGTTGGTGATGGAATTTGAGCCTCTTTACTTTTCCATATATTGAAACATCCATCTTTTTAGCTTAATAAATAGTTCTGCAACATTGAATTTCAGCAGGGAGGCCATTCTCCAGTTGTGTAGCAATACAATTTTGAGTCCTAGTGTCTTCCCCAGCCTCCCTTGCATTGTGAAGCCAATATTTAGAAAGCTCTAGCAAACTAACACCTGCTAGACATAAATCACATGCAGAAATCTACAACTGGACAAGCTCAGGAAGACATAATAGATCAAATCCATGAAGAAACTCACAACGAATTAGGAAAATCTTAAACTTAATCCTATAACCTGACAGGCAGTCAGCAAACTGACTTATGGAGATCTGTAATGTGGGAATTAGAGTGAATGCCAGATGGCATTTAGAAGTCAAATTAAAAAAAAAAGGAATAAACTGCAGTTGATGATAAGCCCAGGGAGGGAGGCTGACAAGGAAAATGTAGTAACGAAGTAACATAGAAGGATGAACTAATATTTTACACTGTATTCTCTTTCTTTTGTTTCTCCCAGCCAGCTTGACAGAAAGTAGTAATGTTTGACTAGTCACAAGCCTAATACCAGCTGCCAGTTTGAACAGGTGCAAAAACAAAGAACAGAACACTACCATTTGGAACATCAGCTCTTTACATAGTCCCTGATATGCTTTGTGGGAACTCACCTACTAGGTTTCTTATTGCTATTTCCCTGATTAGAAGTTTCATTTGATGAATACGTAGCATATTCCCTTAGTCAATGGAAAGGATTAAATAGAGGAATGGCCAATTAGTTTATTCTAACGGTCTGTCATCATGAGATGATACAAGTGCTGGAATTTTGAGATCACACTGGGCCGAAGGAAATGTGCCTGTTACCTGTTACCATTACCACACAATTGTAAAGTGGGACATTCTTCCACGAGCGAAAGATGGTGGAAACTGGCACTGCCAATTATCAATGTTAAATGTATGGCCAATCAGTACTAAGGCCTCAAACAAGCTGGAGGCTTGTTTCATAGAGTCAGTTGGTAAATTGGATGCAGGCAGACAGAGGAACACAATATCCCTCCTCTGTAGGTGGTCTCTGTTTCATTAGGTTTCCAATTGATGTTGCTACACAGTAATCCAAAAATGTGTGATGGGAACATCACTCTCATTTTTCATTAACACTCCTTCGCAAATGTATCGGAGGCAGGTACAAAACAAAGACTTTGCCAGGCTTACTTTTATCCTTTTGGAGACTATTTCTTATCCAGCATCGCTGCTGGATGCTTTGCTTCTCCTCGTTTAGAATCGCTGTAGTCACTCATCACTGTTTGATACGATCAACTTCCTTCAGGATGTTGTGGAAAGAGTGGGAGAGCTTTTAATCTTTAAAAGACAAGTGATTTAGGAAAATCAGCTTATTTATAATAATGAATAGTAACATGACCACTGAAGTTAGATGGGAAAAGAAGAAATAGAGATGATGCCTATTGTTTCAGGAAATCTACCTGAAATGTGTAAAACATGGAATTTTTTGAGAGATCTTAGAGGTCATCCTGACTGAATTCCCCATTTTCAGTTCATAAATGAGGGAATTCTGGCTCCCACTGGCCCTGGCTTTCCCAAAGCTATGCAATTACTGGCAACAGCTCAGATTGGAAAGCAGGACCTGTGTCTTGTGCTCTATTCAGTATACTATGTTCAACCTATTATATAATACATGGGTTCAGATAACTACCACGAACTACAGAATCCACATCCTCTGTTTCCCTAAGCTTATATCATAGCTTTTATTTATACAGTTACATCAAGATATCAACTAAAATGTTCCTCAGTTTGTAGCTTTTGCAGAAATCATTCAGCATTATGCTTTGAGTTAACATAACAGTGTTAATTTCCTGGTATAAAATGTTACACATTTCTGGTAGATTTCCTGAGACAATAGGCGTCATCTCAGTTTTTCCTTGTACTACCTAACTTCAGCACCCATGTTACTAGTGGCCTGAAAGCCTGCCCTGAATCCCCATCTAGTGATGGAGATGGTGACACCCTACCTTGATTGTACTCAGAAGCTTAACCCCCAAGGTAAATGATGGACATCTCTCAGATGACCAGCCTCTTTTGTCTGATTACAGAGAAATGGCTACTTCCTGCGTTCCTGGCAACTGTATTCTGTCTACATGATTGGGCTCTTTGATTGCAGTGCTTTCTGGATTAATGAAAGAGACCCAGTGTATAGGGCTTAACGCACTGGACATAATCTCCAAGCCAACTTTGTCTGTGCTGGTTCCATGTTTTTCTCTTCTGCTCTTGTTGAACCATATCTTTATTCCCTGTGCTTCTGGGAATTTCTTGCTCTAGTAAGTGGAGAATGGCCATGCCTCAGTCATAGGTTTGACATATGCCCAGAATGATGAATCATAGCATTATTTTTCGTTCAGGTATATTTTTCTAATATACTCATTCCGGAATATGAATCTCAAGGAAAAGAATGACTAATTCCAAATTATTTAATCTATTTAAAATTCTTCGAGATACTTTACATTTTGTATGTATAAATACAGAACACTTTATATATGTGTGTATATCTCTCAGAGTTTGCTAAAATTTCCAAGAAAGTGTTTTATTTATTTCTTTACAACTACTGTTAGGAGTAAATTCATACTACCCACTGTGTTTCATCTTCATTCAATTTTAAGAGGCTCCAAACTCATCATCAAAAAGAGGGTTATATAGGTAACAATAACAGATAAAGGAAAAACAAGTGACATATTTTGGTTGTGGTATTTTATTCTAATTAAAAATCATGTAATTAATCACATCCTATTTCTTATTGTAAGGGTGAGAAGAACATGCTAATCAAATAGTCAAAACAAATGGTAAGTATACTGAGCACATCACATTGCCTCCAGATAAATGTTATTTTCATTTACAAAATTCGTCTGTCTTCTTAAAGTCTCGTGTAAAGTTATCACTAAAAATAAATAATATAAATGATTAGTAAGTTGAGAAACTTAAAAATATATGTAATAGCAACTCAGTTTCTTTGGAAAAGTATTTCCCTGATTCATATCAATACAAATATTATTTATATGACATGATTAATGGAATTATTTAAAAATGGGTATTTGTCATCATGCCACTTTGTTTAATGCCATATATATATATTTTTAAATGTACCTTATTGGAATCATATACATTAACTGTGTCAGGATAATGTTTAAAGAATGTTACATTGCTTATATCTTTGGTCGAGTAAAAAGATCTGTTGGACTTCAATGGAGTGTGCATGGTATGAATGAAACCCTCTACTTCTGTTAGTGGGTTTCTTTATCAGGCTCACAGTCACTTGGGAAGTAGTCAGGCCTAAAACAGGTATTTTTAAAATTTGATATCCATATTGACTATGATGTTAGAAATAAAGAAAATTTAAAAAAAATGGAATTTAAATATTCGAGTAGTGGAATTTTGGGCACAGCTATGTTGTAACAAGAAAACCACATCATTTGCTGTAAATAATCTATGTTCCTTGTGGCAATAACAAAATAAGAAAATAAATATATTAAAAAATGGAAAGTTAGAGTATCAGTTAGCACCTGTAAGGCTACAAATTACAGAAAACCCAACACGAGAATGTGTAAGTGAGAAAAAGGATTGATTGCTCCAGTGAGGAAAATCAAGAGGTAAGGCAAACTGCAGGGCTACTTCATCCAGAGACTTCATTCCTCAAATGCTCTTCTACCCCACTAGTCAGCAATCTTCCCGTTACAATAAGAGCCTCATTGCAAGACAGCTTCTCCCTGTGGCAAGATGGCGGCTCCCAGCCTCAGTGGGGCTTCCAAGCTTCTTCAATTCATGGGAGAAAACTGGGTGGAGCTGGGAGTAGGGTCAACTCTGCTTGAAAATATGGATTATGTAGGGAAGGAGTGGATACATACCCCTTCCCCACCCACAAACACAAATTCTGGTTTTTGAAAGAATGGGGAATCTGGGTAGATAACCAATATTTGTGCATTATAGAATTAAAATGCTCAGATTAGATTTGACATGTACCAGTGAAATGTATTAGTCCGGTGCCTATTCTTTTATTCAGGGAAATTATAAGAAAATTTAAAGCCTTAAATCTTAGCATAGCAAAGGACTTTTATTATAGTAATAGTAATATGAAATATATAAATTGAAGCTTACAAAACAAAATTTTGGGGAAATGTAGAGTTATGCTTTTATTAATAATAACATTAAAGAAATCTATGAAATGCTTTATATTTCTTGCTAGTGTCACTTTAAATCTTCACATCCAATAAACTTACTGTTTTCTTCTTTTTAGGCCATGAAAAAAAATGGAAACTCTCTCAAGGACTAACAATCAGAGCTGCCTGGTTGACGAGGGATGTTTTGGTTGCAAGAAGACCCTGAAGCAAGGATTCTAAATCAAAGATTCAGGGGCAATCTGAGTTTGCATTTAAGATCCTTCTGCCCATAGCAGTAGCTTATATGTTATGTTCAATTGACGTATAAGTGCTGTGAAGAGATACTCTATTATAACCTCTGATGACATTAGCATTGTGTATTTCATAATGTGATTGTAGATAGAAAGTTGGTCTATGTAATTCAAATTATGATTCTTCCTTAAAAGCAAAATTGGAAAATTCACTTTATCTACATAATTGACTTAAAAGTATTTATTGTATATCTATTCCATACCTAGCAGTGAGCAAGATGTTATAAAATAAAACATACAGAAAACTACATCCCTTTTCACAGGCTAATTGCTTCCCATTTTAAGTAAGAAATATATGAATCCCTGAACAGTTGTTCAAATTTATATTGAGAATATCATTATTTTTACTAGATGATTTTACCAAAATAGATCGAAGCTGTGAGAAAGTGTCAGGAAGAAAAGATTAAATGACCATAATCTTCCCATCTCAACATAAGAGAATTGATTTGCCTTAAACCTGTAGTAAATAAGTCCTTTGGAGTTTGCATTTCCGAAGAGTTGCAGTTGGCTTTGCATGTAGTGGCTACATTCCTTTATAAAATGTACTTCTGTGTTCAAAGTCAGTAGCTAGGGCAAAGCAAATTTCTCCTTCAGCCAAACAAAAGTTCAATCCTAAGAAACAAAGTAGAAGGAATTTGTGAGTATTCTTTCCTCTTTGTGCTTAGGGAATGCATGTGCATTTCTACAGCAAAGGATAAAATATAAAATTAAAGATAAACAGTCTGCTCAAGAATCTTTCTTTGAATTTCATGTGTAGACTTAGAAAATACTATCACTAGCCTTATTTATTCTGAATAATACTTTTCAGACAGATGTAAGCTTTTTGTGTGTTTTGTTTTGGGGAAGGGCTACTAATTTAAGTAAAACTTTAAAAAGAAAAAATAATGATTATAGTGACACATATGCTTCTGAACTACATTTTTTATTTGTATGGTCATATATTATTTGGAGGGGATTTTTTTCCCAGTCTCCATTTTTTTCTTTTGTAAATATCTTTTCACATTAGTACAATTTGTGAAAAACTCTTTTACTTGTCAATCTTACTAGACAACTAAAGTTCTAATCTAACACCTTAGCATTTTAATTTCTATGCATCTCCCTTTTGGTGATATATTGATATTCTTGTTTAATTAGTGGTGTGAGTGGTAGAATCTGAGATCTCAAATTATTTGCCAAAGTCACTGGGTTATCTCCTTAAAGCTGATCAGATGGGCTTTTCTTTCTAACATCCTATTATAGGAGGTTTTTGTAAACTAGTGATATAAACGATTATTTTTAGTTAAGAGAAGCCCCAGGAAAGATTAAAAAAATGGATATAAAGACATTCCAGTTCTTGATCTTATCTTTTTCTCATCTCAACCTTTAGAGAGTCTTGCTGGAAGAACACAAGGAAAGGCAGGAAGGCTTCTTACAGATCTTTGAGACCTCCTTCCACTCAAATCCCAGGGGAGCTAGAACGCTATACCTCTGTGGTTCAAAAAGTCTTTGGACCAGAAAAGGGGCCTTTATCTGCCAACATTTCAAACATATTCAATCAAATATTGATCTAGAAAATCAGCTACTTTTTCCTCTAGCAAAGAGATTAAATTAGTACTACCTACTGAAGGCCTACACATGGTCCTCGGGAAGATAATGATGGTACCCTAGGCTATTCCTAGGATCAAAAGTTTATATGGACACCAAACTGATTTAACGTTTTCTGTAATGCATGGAGACAAAAGGGTGAAAGATCTGCTTGCCAATAGTAATGTGCTGGAGATTATCTCATGTGGCGAGTCCTTGCATCAAGAAGCCAGGTTATGGTTTTCAAATCCATCTCATCTCTGAAAATAAAAGAAATGGAACATGGCCTGTTTCACCTCACTGAAAGGTTTTCATCACCAGAAATATCTGATGCCTCTTATTCAAGTTGACAGTAGCACATGTTCCTCTGACTCATAAACAGTCCTTCTCTCTATTGTGTCCTGTTTCCAAGAAGTACCGAATGTTATGTTATTAAAGAATAGGAGGTTTTTCTGCCTATTCTTCCATAAATTTGAGGCTATCAAAAAATGATAAAAAGCTTTCCAAATTCTAAAATCAATTGGAATTTCAAGCTTAATTTATGAAATACCGTGTTCAAGTTGGTGTATGATATAAAACGTAATCTTTAGCCTCCACATACTACAAATTTGGAATAGCTAAATTTTAACTAGAAATTGTAGGTTGTGGAGAAGCTTGTCTCTTCCAATAGTACCTATGATTTATTTATATGCCACCTTTGTACTCTTAACAAATGATTTTTTTAGTTGTCTTTGAATTTACCTTTACTTAAAGAAACAAGAAAGGGCTATATATCTTGCAAATTATACATGCTCAAATCAAAATTTTCATGAGTTAGTAAAAGTAGGAAAATAAAACATCACTCTTTCTCCTTTGAACTTGATATATGGCAACAATGGCTGTCAGTATTGTGAATCTACTTGTTAGAAGCCAGTGTTATAGAGACCAGGCATATGAATAGCCACTATACTCGGTAAAAATAATCTTTTAGGTTATGGGATTATTAATTGTTTGACAGAAATGTTAGATTCTTAGGTAAGATGGAGCATATGTTGGAAATCTGACACTAACTGTGAGTTTTTATGTACTGGCCCTTTATTAAGAAGATTGTTTCAGACATTGTCACTGTGTGGTCCACTTGGTTTACTGTTTTGGCTGAACTGACTGATGATGAAAGTGAACCAATACTCTGAATTCACTGTTGTTTTTGGCATTATGCCATTGCAATCAAAGAATTATGGAAAGAAATAATGTTCTTGAGCAATTACCATATGCCAGCCACTTTGCTAAGTGATGAGCATATAGTAACTAAAAATATACATGGGCCTTGCTCTCGACTAACCACATAATAAACACAACATTACTTCTGTGATAAGTGCTGTGAAAGAGAGGTATAGGCATTTGCTAAGCACTTGGTTTGTGCAGGGCATTTTATTATTACATAAATCAACATAGAATCTTACATGAAGTTTGAAAAGATAAGTTGCAAGTTTAAAACTAAAGAGATCTGACTTCACAGGATTCTTGCAGGAAAAAAAATGTCAAAAGAGTTCAGTTTATGGCAAGCTGAGGAGAAGACTGTGGGGTAATGTGACTTTCAAAATACCTCATGCAATTTTAGAACCACTAACAAAATCCCAGGGTATAGATTAAGAAAGAAAAAGGCTGACACCAGTCACATGCATTGGGCTCGATTTCTGGGAAATACAACTTAAGAGAGATACGTTATAGAAAATCTGGTGGTGTCCTGTCTAGAGGAGCTGAACCTACATGGTAAAAGGTCCAGAAACCACATCTGTGAGAAACATTTTAATAAAGTGGGAAGGTTGATACAGAGAAGATAAGGGATATTATGGTTGTGTCTTTAAATAACTAATATGCTGTGATGGAGGATAAAATAGATAATATTGTATAACCATATATGACAAATCTTAGATCAACCAAAGGGTGGAAGTTACAAGTTTAGGTTTAACATTAATGATGAATCTTTCAACAATAAAATCTAGTTGCAAATGTAATGAGCCCCATTGTGAGGTAGTGGATTCCATGGCATTAGAAATCTTCAAAGAGTGACTTGAATAAAGCCTTTTTCGAAAATGTTATGGAAAGATTTTTTACATTTATTGAGACAGTGGACTAAATATTTTCTAAGTGATCTTTCAACTCTGAATTTCTATGATTTTATGTTATAATTACTAGAAAATCTCATGTTCTAGAATGGACAAATGTAAAATGTTCAACCCTTCTGCAGTGATGGTCTAGCACTGTGGGCAAATAAGAATAAATAACACATAGTCTCTGACCTCAAGGTACTTATAGTCAAGTGGTGATAACAAGCATTTGAAAACAAAGAAATGACTGACATGCAATAAATGCAGTGATGCAGTCACATGCAAAGTTTCTGAGAAAACATGATAGTATTCAATCCTGAAGGAGGTGGTAATGAAGGAGAACTAGAAAAGGTTAACAGATAAGCCAGGAGTTAATTCATATTGTTATTTCTTTTGGGGGATGGATGAAAAGTAAGAAGGGTCCAACACCCAAGCAAAGGGCACATTACATTTCCTTTCCCAAGGTACATCAGTTCACTATGAGAAATAATTACACAAGATTAGGACGATGTGGTTCTATATCTGTCTTATGATATATTGAGTCCGATATGCAATAGAGGATAGAGATATGTACCATGGGCTCTGCTATAGAGTCCCATAAGTAAGATACAAGATTTATATGCCTATGTTGGAAATAAAATGCTGTATAAATATATAAATAAAGTTGAAAAGATACTAACACTTACCGTAATATAATTTTTGCATTGAAAGTATTTTATTTATTTTTATTGAATATCTCTCCCTGGAGATGTGCAGTTTTCTTTCTCCATGGTGGCTTTAAAAAAATAACAGCTTTTTGAAATTTAATTAACGTAACATACAATTCACTCATTTAAAGAGCATAATTCAATTATTTTTAGTATATTCACAGATATGTGCAACCATTGCCACAGTTAATTTTAGAACATGCTCGTCACCTTAAACCCCCTTTTAGCTATTACCCCCTCATCCTCTCATCTCCTCATTTCTAAGCAACTGCTAATGTTTTCAAGGTTCATCTATGTTGTAGCAGGTATCAATGTATTGTGCCTTTTTATGGCCAAGTAGTATTTCATTGTGTGGATATACCACATTTGTTTTTCTATTCATCGATTGATGGGCATTTGAGCTGTTTCCACCTTTTGGCCATTATAAATAATGTTGCTGTAAATATTTGTGTACAAATTTTCGTGTGGATGTATGTTTTATTTATTTTGGGTATACACCTAGAAGTGGAATTATTAGTTCATATGAGGATCCAATGTGCACCTTCCAACTTTGTTCTTCTTCTTCAAGATTATTTTGGCTCCTCTGGGTCTCTTGCAATTCCATAAGAATTTTAGAATCAGCTTGTTAAGTTCTGCAAAGAAATCCACTAGGATTTTGATAGGGAATGTATTAAATCCATAGATCAATGTTGAGAGTATTGCCATCTTAGCAGTATTAACTCTTCCAGTTCATGAATATGGATCTGTTTCCATTTGGTTAGCTCTTCTGTAATTTCTTTCAACAATGTTTTGTACTTTTCAGAGAATAAGTTTTGCACATCTTTTGTTAAATTTATTTGCAAGTATTTTATTCTTTTTTGATACTATCTTAAACAAAATTAGTTTTTTTATTTCATTTTAAGATAGTTCATTACAAGCTTATAGAGCTACAACTGTTTGTGTGTTGATCTTTTATCTGATGACCTTCCTGAATTCATTTATTAGCTCTAATAATTTTTTAGTAGGTTCCTTAAGAATCTAAAGCTTATGATCTCTATATAAGACCATGTCATCTACAAATAGAAATAGTTTTACTTCTTCCTTTCCAATCTGGATGTGTGTATTGTGGCTTATTAAAAAATAATCTGTAATCAAAAAAAAAAAAAGAAATGGAGGGGATAAAATGACAGATACAGTGCTGAAACATGCATATTTTAGTAGATAATAGTTCTATAACACTTTGTACCAAGCACTTTATACTTATTATTTAATAATCACAACTCTACAATATTGTTGTCTTCCATTTTACAGATTAGAATACTGAGACACAGAAATGCAAATGATTCCACAGCCCATAAATAGCAGAGCTGGAATGAAGAAATTAATAATAACAGCCAGCAGCTGTATAATACTTCACAGCTTACAAAGCATTTTCAAATGCTGTAATTCATTTTTCAATTAATCCTCAACATAACTAAAGGGAAAGCATGTCCCCATTTTACAAATAACAAAACTGATGCTCAGAGATATGATTTGGAAAAGGTCCAAACTTAATAAGACAAAATCTGAATAGGAATTCATAACATTAGAGTGAGGCTTTATTTATTAGATCACAGCTACACTTTTGAAAGTCTTTTCTATGTATTAGAAATGGATAATTTCCTGGAGCAGCTCAATGGCTAATACATAGCATAGAAAATATTGCTATTTTAGCTAAGGTTCTTTGGAAACATGAAACAGGAAAGTATTCTAGCTAATTTAAAAAAAAGAAAAAATAGAGAATTTATTAGAAGTGTATAAAGCAGCTCATAGAACTAGAGGACAGCATAACTATCAAGCCTTGGGAAGTCAGATCCCATAACAGATATGAGAATCTGGTTTATAGGAATTAATGAGCAATTTTTCCAGGGCTTTGTGATTAAGGGGTGTCAGTTCTAGCTATTTTCCACTCTGGCAATATTCTGCTCAAGGTTCTAATTGCATGAAGAGTCTAATTTTGCTTGACTTAACTTGGTCCATAAGTCCACATATTGGCTTCCAAGTCTCAAAGAGAATAAGTTCAACGGATGTAGCAAAGAATGGGGATGCTGTTTTTCAAGGGGAAATGGGCACTGAGCCAGCCTAACTCTTCTATTTATTATGCTAATATGTGCAAACCACTTTTCTCTCGCTACCATAAGTCCCGCAAATCTCTAAAATAGGGAAAGTTAAAAGTGATCAGCTGGCATGTTTTGAAAATTAACCCTTTAAAATATCCTTTGAAATGTATACAGGGAAAGTATACTATGAATATGAACTCAATACTTATGACATTTTGTCTTTTAGTCCTCCTTCTCCAAGATACTATCTATCTATCTATCTGTCCATACACCCTGCATATAATAAATATATGTACACCCATATACACATAATAGAAGTAATAAAATGGCAATTTATTTAGAATCTACAAAGTAATAAATGAATTTTTCCATTTTTCAGTGGGAAAAAAGTATACCCATTGTCAATTTACTTTAATTTTTAATTTTTATTTTTATCCGCACCTCAGGACATGGAATACAGTTATATCATGGGAACCCATTGTGAGCGCACTCTCTGTTTGATGGTTTATCAGCATAAAAATATGTCTTGGGACAACAAAAGCTTTTCCTACAGGTGTGACCAAGGTTGTAAATTGCCTCCATTGCTTCGTGCATAAATGTGGCATGGACTGCTTAATTATAATTTTTTTTCCACTAGTTTTGTTTTTCTTCATTATGTGCCCTCACTGTAAGGTTCTATAATGCAACTTACAAAAGAAAAGCCATAAGATACTGGGGAGAAAATGAGAAAAATCAAGAGGAGGTGGAGAGACAGGTAAATGAAATTATTATTATGAATGGTGCATTGTAAGATTTCTGTACTGTATGCTTATATATAAAGGAACAGAGCTATTTTGAAAAGCTGCATTTAAACTGCAGCTTTTAAACTACAGTGAAAGTATAGTTTAATTGGTTATAAATAAATGTACATGACACAGTGCAGTTGTGTTGCTCCTGGTGAAACCATTTTGTATTCTAGTATTTTTTAAGAAAGACCTTTGTTTTTCTGAATAGGCACTTCTATCGGTTTATCAGTGAAGATATTTGTGAATTTGGCTACAGATGATGTAGAGTGGCCACTGAGCAAGCTGCAAAGAATGTGGGCTTTAATAAATAGGAATTCCAAAGGATTTTGCAGGTTTAGTAGAGTGGTGACACCTACTCTCTTCTCTGCTGCCACGGAATGGAATATGATTTTTGCACTGCCATGTCACATTGGCCCATGATAAACAAAGCTATTTATTTCATAAGAAACAGTAGCAACAGATATGACAACTTGAGCTGATCCAGTGCTATTCAATTGTGTTATTTTCTGATAACAGGAGTATAGCTTTGTCATGCCTGTGTATCACTTTCTCTGTGTAAATTTTGGGTTTTTTTTTAAGTCTAAAAACACAAATCTGTCTTTTATTGCTTTTTATTAACTTTGATAAGTTACATTTCAAGAACTATTGCTCCTTGCATTAAATTTACATTAAGAAACAACATAGAGAGACTTGAATTAAGAATTAATATGTATTGTAGTCTATAATAAATAATTAGGCTGCTTTCAGATGATAAAAGTGTCTACCACTTGGCTTCATTTTTTAATCTTTCTTTCCAAAACCCTTATCAGTTAAGATGCTTCTATTTTTAGAGACTCTAGAATAGTAATTTTCTTATATAAAAAGTACAAAAAGCTTTTGCTTTGTCCTGAAAATCACAGATAATCACACCTAGATTTTCAAATTTAAAAATGTGTATTTAAATTTTACACAAATTTTTAAAATTATTTTTCTGTTAAGTTTCCATGATAGAAAGGTAAAATTTATTAGAGAAGAACTTGTATTTTTTCCCCACCTTCAGAAAACTGCAAGCATATATACACTATTGAAAGTATTATAAGCATGCTTATTTTATTTTGAAATTATGCCACAAATTCCCCTTGCCACTGTATTGAGAAAGCCCAGATGTTCATAAAAAAACAGTGAATATCTGCAAATGTTATAAAGTTATAATAAATCTGTTTGATATTAACAGACATTGTATGTTAAGTGCACAAAACAGTTACAAAAACTTGAAGGGCAGAAATAAAACACACAGAGCAAATGCAAGTCTTTTCTGATTAACAGTAGCATTTCTTTAAAATCACCATAACCTAGTCATAAGTAGTAATGAAATTTACCACTGGGTTTTGAGGATAATATTGCCTTTTTATTTCTGGTTGTCTTTTTTTAGTAATATACATTTACCCTTCAAGGCTTTAATTTTAGGTATTCCTTTCATTCTGAGATTACCCATATCTACTTATCATCACTTTTTAAAAAATTTATGCCGAGTTAACATTTTTTACTCTGGCCGCCATACTCTGTATGACTGGCCTGGAGTTGTAGTAACAGTGGGTAAAGGAACATGAGCAAGAAGAATCTAAAACAAAGCAGCAGTAACAATAAAACTGGCCACGATGGTATAGCATCTCTATTCTGAGAGAGGTGCTTGATTCCATTTGAGTCCAGGAGGTGATATGGCTAAGGGTATGACGGTGGTTCCCATTGTCTCTCCTCTGAAATAGGTCAGCTGGATGTGAGTATCGAAGCTGGCGGATGTTGTGAGTCACACTTGCCTCCCAGGCTCCTGAGACACTGAAGGGACAAATGACAGGGGAGCCTGGTATTTGGTCTGTACTCCTCAAGTCAGAGGAGGGCTGCCTCAATAGCTCAGCCTGGGTGTGGAAGGCCAGGGTGGGACCAGGAAAATCTGTCAAACATGACTTTTTCCACCTATTGTTTCTTGATGGGGGAGAGATGGGGAGAGAGAGTCTCTTCTTTTAAAATCCCAATCCAAGGGAGAAAGGGGCCACATTGCAAGAAATGTATAGGTTTGAGAAGTGCATTTACCTCTCAGGCTTTAACACCAATAACAAGGAGATCAGTTCTTCAGGTTAAATGAGCTGATGTAGATGATGTTTGTCTTATGGTAGAAAAATAAATAATCACTCTTATTATAAGGCAGCAGACACCAAGATTTCTAAG